CTCTTCCTGTCTTTCTGTCTCTGTCTCTCTCTTCCTCTCTCTCTTCCTCTGCCCCCCTCTCCCCCCTTTCTGTCTCTGTCTCTCTTCCTCTCTCCCTCTTTCTCTGTCTCTCTTCCTCTCTCTCTTCTTCTCCCTCCCTCTTTCCCTCTCTCTTCCTCTCTCTCTCTCTCTCTCTCTTCCTCTCTCTGTCTCTCTTCCTCTCTCTCTCTCCCTCTCTCTCTGTGTCTCTGTCTCTCTTTCTCTCTCTCTCTTCCTCTTTCTGTCTCTTCCCCCCCCTCTTCCTCTTTCTCTTCCTCTCTCTGTCTCTCTGTTTCTCTTTCCCCTTCTCTCTGTCTCTCTGTCTCTCTCCCTCTTTTCCTCTCTCTCTCTCCCTCTCTTCCTCCTCTCTCTTTCTCTCTGTCTCTCTGTCTCTCTCTCTCTCACACACACATCGACACACAGACCCGTAATATAATTTGCTAGCCAAAGACAGACAAGTGACGGAAGACACAGCCGAGTTTTGCTCCAGTGGGAAAATGGGAGGGGGGGAAAAGCACCGAAGATAAACCCGGCTAACACCCCAGAGAGGAGCCCCCAGATGCTGGCTTCCCTCGGGAAGGTCACGCCTGGTGGGGACAAGGCAAGAGCGATCCCCATGGCCAGCATCCCCACATCCTCCCAGCCGAAGAAGAGAGAGAAACTGACAAGACCTTCCCAGTTGTACATCACATAAGACTTTCAGCTCTCAGGGAAGAAGCGGAGATTCCCGCTGAGCATTAATCAGACCCCCCCCCACCCCCCCTTGGCAGACGGAGCGTCTTACCCTGGGCTCTCCCGCACGGCAAAACACAGGAAGACCCAAATGCCCAGCAGGCACCACCGGGCCCCCATGGTGCTGGGCCGCATCGGAAGCTGCTGCAGCTGCGTTGGGTTCTTCTCAGCTTCCCTCTCTGGGGCTGCTCTGCATAATCTCAGTGCCACCCAGCTGCCAGCCAGGAGCAAAGTGAGGACCGGCCGTGGGTGACACAGCCCCAAGAGGCATGACAGGAGGGCGGAGTCCCAGCAGGTGTCTCCCATGCATCAGGTGTGCACACAGGTGAAAGCAAGAGGAATGCCGCAGGAAGCCCAGGCCCAGGGCTGCGTCACGCCCTTCTCACGACCGGCTCGGCGTTGCCAAGGGAGTCTGCTAGCGGGAAGGGAAGGCGGGCGAAGACCCCCCTGCTTGGGGTCCAGAGGCTTCAGCCAGGGGACGCCCTTCGGACGGGGGTTGCACGTTTCCTTCCCCTCCGCAAACGCAAGAAGAAACGTAGAATAGAGTTGGACCAGGTGGGCCTTTCCTGAACACACAGACCCCCCCCCCCCCCCCCCCCCCGACCTCCTTGGGCCCTGATGGCATCCTAGACACACTGGCCCAACTTAGGCCATTTCTCCCGCGGTTCCCTCCCAGGTCTGCCACACCCCTGGAATGCAGCCTCAGCTTCCCTGTTGGGTTTCTGCCTGGATTCCTTCTCCAGCAGGGGATCCCTCGGGCTGATTCTCCTCTGCCCCGGTCCTTCCGTTCAAGCGATGGCAGCCACTTGGAGCCCTCCTGGCCGCCGCTGGGGAAGGCTGGAGGGAGAGAATTCAGAACCACACAGTTGGGAGGGACCTTGGAGGTCATCTAGTCCCGGGGTCGCCCACCTTTTGGAGCTCAGGGACCACCAGACACATCATCTTAAATCCCGCGGACCAGAGGGACCCTGGGAAAATCCCCCCAAAAGTCTGGAGGAAAATCTCCCACCCCGTTTTCCTACCGATCGATCGTTCTTTATTTGGGATTGCAGGATACCGTCTCCGGCTCCGTTCTCAGGGGGAGAGAGAGAGGAGAGACTTTTGGCTCCATGCAAGGAAAGCAGCAAAGCTGCAGAACTCTTTCTTTCTCTCCCCCAAACTCCGCCAGGAATGAGCCTTTGTGACACTTGTCATGCCGCAACAGCCTCTTGGAGCAGGAGGCCTTGCAGGGTCCCAAAGGCTCATTTCTGGCAGAGTTTCGGGGAGAGAAAGGAAGACTTTGGCCGCTTTCCTTGCCTGCAGCCACAAGCAGAAGAAGAAAGAAGCAGAAAGAAGCAGCCTGGGGGCCAGGCCAGGTGTGTGGGACAAAGTGGGGTGCATTCCCCCCTCCTCCCTTTCGCCCCTCCCCTCCCTGCCTCGTTTTGTGCACAATGCAAGCGACGCAAGCCTTGTGTGTTCCCGCAGGCCATGTGGGTGGTGCAGCCTTGTGTTCCTGCAGCCTGGATTAATGGCTTTGTGGGGCGGGGGGACATTTCTCTGCAGACCACCCAAATTTTCTCGCAGACCACCAGCTCATTCCCCGGCTCATTGGCTGGCGACCCCTGGGCTAGTCCAACCCCCCGCTTGAGCAGGGGCCCTTCTACCTTGTCAGACCAGAGGCTGTCCAACCTCTTCTTGAAAACCTCCAGCGATGGAGGCAACTTCTGTTCCCCTGGTTGATTGTTCTTGAATCCATTTGGCTTGGATAATAGAGTTGGGAGGGACCCTGGAGGTCTTCTAGTCCAGCCCCCCTGCTGGAGCAACCACCCTTTGAGACAAATGGCTGTGCAGTCTCTCCAGTGTGGGAGCACCCACAAAACGTCTGAAAGCAACTTCTCTTCCACTTGTTTCCACTCGCTCTCGCTGTCAGGAAATGCCTCCTTCCTTCTCAGGTGGCTTCTCTCCTTGATCAGTTCCCCTCCTTTGCTTCTTCTCCTGCCTTTTGGTGCTGCGGAGAAGAGGTTGTCCCCCCTCCCTTCTTTGGGGCAGCCCCTCAAATTTCTCAAGAAAGGGGCTGCCTTCACATCGCACCACACAGAACAGTGTGGATCTTCCTTTCAAACGCGTTTCCGGGAAGGCATAAAATCGCCAAACTGGGTTCTGGGCGGCCTGCTGAGCCGCGGAGCCGTCCTCTGCCCGGCTGGGGCCTGTGGTGACCCCCAGCCAAGATCGCACGGAGACTCTTTTTCTCCCAGTTCCTGCCTGCAAAGCCAGCATCCCAGCCGGCCCTCACCTGCCAACCCCCCCGCCCCCCCCACGGCTCTCCTGGAAGCCGGCCGCTCCCACGGCGGCCCTGCGTGTGCACGGCTTCCATGCCTGGCTTGGAGCCGGCTCTCTCCAAAGGCAGCCCCGGCTCGTCCCTTAAACTGGCAAGACAGTGGCAGGAGACAAGGGCCGCCTGGTCTTCCTCACGGACGCCTGCCTGGGAGTCCATCCGAGGCATCCAAGCGGGGCGGGGGAGGGGAGGCGGCCAGGCTCGGGCAAAGGATCCGGGCGCCACTGATCCAAACTTCAACACCAGCCAGCAACGTATTGCAGCTGCTGAAGAGGCCGATGCGATCCTCAGAGGCCTTAACTGAAACGGCTCTGTGGAGGTTCTCGGTCATCCAGGTCATGGTTGACCTAAAAGTGGATTTTCCAAAGGGCAACTGGACTTTCTCGTTTTTTTTCCCTTGAAAATATTTCACTTCTCATCCAAGAAGCTTCTTCGGTTCTGACTGAATGGTGGAGAATTGGAAGACTTAGAACAGAACAGAACACAATAGAGTAGATATTGGATGGAGAATAGAATATAACAGAAGAATGAAGAATTAATAGAATATAGAATAGAATAACGAAGAATTAATAGAATATTGGAATGAAGAACAGAATAGAATAGAAAATAGAAGAAAGTGGAATGGAATGGAATGGAATAGAATAGAATAGAATAGCAAATAGAAGATAGTGGAATGGAATGGAATGGAATAGAATAGAATAGAATAGAATAGAATAGAATAGAATAGAATAGAATAGAATAGAAAATAAAAGAGAGTGGAATGGAATGGAATGGAATGGAATGGAATAGAATAGAAGCTGGAAGGGACCTCAGAGGTCTTCTAGTCCAGCCCCCTGCTCAAGCAGGAGAACCTAGACCATTTCAGACAAGTGACCGTCCAGCCTCTTCTTAAAATCCTCCAGTGACGGAGCACCCAGGATTTCTGAATTTATATTCCTTATTCAGTATTCCTTCATTTATATTCAAGGAATATGAATCCTTCCGTCTGCCACCATTCAGTCAGAACCGAAGAAGCCTCTTGGATGGGAAGCGACACGTCTTTAAGGAAAAACAAAAGTCCCTTTGGACTTTGGAAAAAGCAGCTTTGGGGCGACAGACGGGACTGGAGAGCCTTGCCTCCCCTCCAGGCCCAGATCCCTTTGGCCGTTCCTGGGTCCCGTTCTGGGCACCGGAGCTGGAGAAGGAGAGTGAACCTTCGTCCCTGGTGCTCTCGGAGCTGGCTGGGTTTCTGGCAGGCCTTTCATGACCCAAACTAGGTGACGTCATCAGTCCTAGGAGGGAGGGGGGGTTGTGAGGGGGAGGGAGGAGAGGGACCCCTGAGGCCATCCAAACACATCTGCTTCTCGGATTTGATGGTCCCGTTCAGCCTCTGTTGGTGTGAAGGAGGCGGCAGCCGGGCGGGCAGGCAAGTCCTCTTGCGCTGCTCTTGAACTCAGAGCAGGAACCCTTTTGCCCTCCAAGCCCGTCGCTTGTTTGCTTGTTTTCCCCACATTTTATGGGAGGTGCAGAAGTCAATGACCTCCTGCCCCCCCCACCCCCCCCAGTTCACAGGGGAGGAGATGGGAGCATGAATCACCTCTGCACCTGGCCCTGCTGCAGAAGGCCGGGTTCAAATTCCTCCCTGCCCCAGAAAGAGCCACGGAGTCTCTGTGTGTGTGTGTGTGTGTGTGTGCGTGCGTGCGTGTGTGTGTGTGTGTGTGTGTGTGTGTGTGTGTGTGAGAGAGAGAGAGAGAGAGAGAGAGAGTCTGCAGAAGGACACACAAAACATCCAACAAGCCCCAGTTTGCCCTCCCACCTTGATACCATCGTTGTGATGGTATTTTATGGGTCCATTTTAGGAAGCCAGAGAAGGGATTTGACTGGGGGGGGGTCTATGGTGCCTCCTCTCTCCCCCTCCCTCCCCTCTTCATTCCCCTCCTCCCTCCCCCCCCTTCCTCTCCTCCTCTTCCTCCCCCTCCCCTTTTCTCCTCCTTCTCTCTCCCTCCTTCCCTCTTCCTCCTCCCCCTCCTCTCTCCTCTCCCTCCCTCTTTCCCTCCCTTCCTCCTCCTCCTCCTCTCTTCCCCTCCTTCCCCCTCCCCTCTTCCTCACTGAAGAAGCTTCTTGGATGAGAAGCAAAACATCTTCAAAGGGGAAAAAAAAACTCCCCAGAAAGTCCAGCTGGTTTTTTTTTTTTGAAAAGCGCCTTTGGGGTCAGTCAAGACAATCTTGATTTGGGTGCCTTGACCCCGACGGGCTGTTCCTGGCCCTGCTGACCCTCGAGGGAGTTTTGGGGGGGGGGGGGGGGCGAAGGGGGTGTGGGTGGGGGGGGGGGGGGGGGGCGGGGGGGGGGGGGGGGGCCCCCCCCCCTTAAGGGCCCCCGCCCGGGGGGGGGGGGGGTTGGACTAGAAAATCCCTTCCGGTTTCCATCACCCCAGGACGTTAACACTGATTAGGATCTGGCTTTGGTTTTCATCGACGTAGAAACTTTGCGGCTTCCTTTCTGCCCCCCCCCCCGGTCCCTCATAAGCTCTTTAAATGTTTGGTCCCCTGCAGACCCACCACAATGGAGAGATGGCGGCCCCGGGATAAGACGGGATGCATCCGCCTCACCAGCATAAACCCAGGACCGACCATCATTGTTGGAAGGCCCAGGATCCTGCCAGGAACGTCAGACGATCCCCAATGCAGCCGCCCGCGGCCTCCCGCGTCCCTCTTGCCCCGTTGCCAGCAGGGGTGGGGGGCTGGGTGGGGGGGCTTTCTCCCCAGGGCCGGGAGGGGTCCGGGGAACAAGGGAGCAGGACGGCTGCCAGGCTTGACCGGGGGTTTTGCTGGTGCCAGCTGCTTGTGGGGAAGGAGATGAGATGCCCAGGAATGCAATTGGGGGGGGGGCAACACTCTTTGATCGTTTTTTAAAAAAGAACTTTTAACTCCCCTGTATTCCTTTTAAGAAATAACTCAAAGCAAGGGGGGTGCGTAATGCCGCTTCCCCCCCCTCTTTCCCCCCCACGAGGTGGGTTGGGCTGAGGGGGGCGGGGGGGGCCGGCCCAAAGGCCCCCGGGCGGTTTCGGGGGGGGGGTGGGGGGGCCCAGGGACGAAGGTGGAGGGGTGGTGGGGGGGTTAGGGTGGTCTTGAGAAATGGGCTGGATGTGCCCAGAGACTGTCAGGAGAGCGAAGGGGAACTTTCACTGCAAGTGAGAACAATTAGCCAGGGGAAGGGGGTGGGGGGGTGGGTGGGTGGGGGTCCATCGATGGAGGCTTTGAAGAAGAGACCGGACAGCAGGAATGGTGTATAAGGTTTCCCCCTCAGCAGGTCTCTGCCCTCCAAGGTCCCTTCCCAGGTGGTTACCCTGTTAGGTGTGGACAAAAGGTCAACTTCTGGGGTGTGTGAGAGAGAGAGAGGGGGGGAAGGAAGGAAGGAAGGAAGGAAGGAAGGAAGGAAGGAAGGAAAAGAAGGAAGGAAGGAAAGGAAAGAAAGGAAAAGAAGGAAGGAAAGAAGGAAGGAAGGAAGCAAAGAGGAAAGAAGGAAGGAAAAGAAAGGAAAGGAAGGAAGGAAAGAAAGGAAGGAAAGAAAGGAAAAGAAGGAAGGAAAGGAAAGAAAGGAAAAGGAAGGAAGGAAGGAAAGAAGGAAGGAAGGAAGGAAAGAAGGAAAGAAGGAACGAAAGGAAAGGAAAGAAAGGAAGGAAGGAAAGGAAGGAAGGAAGGAAAGAAAGGAAAAGAAGGAAGGAAAGGAAGGGAGGAAGGAAAGAAGGAAGGAAGGAAGGAAAGAAGGAAAGAAGGAAAGAAAAGGAAGGAAGGAAGGAAGGAAGGAAGGAAGGAAGGAAGGAAGGAAGGGGTTTTTTTCCCCCCTTTATCTCCCCAGGTCAAATGAGCCCAGGAGGGATCCAGGCTGGGGGGGGTGGAGGGTCCGGGTGGGTGCCAGCAGGTCCTGCACCAAGGCTACCAGGGAGTTGCTCCTCACCAGCCTCAATCCTGGTGGCCGTGTCAGTCAAGCACCTGATCCACCATTGTTCCCTGTCGGCCACCTGGCCCTCTCTGGGGAGCAAAGGAGAACCCCACCCCACCCCCCCCCCCCCCCCCCCCCCCCCCATGGGTAGGGAGACTTAGGACAGTTCCGTGCAGATTCAGCCGGGTTTCTGACCCCACTCCAGCTGGATTCCGACAACCCTTTTCTCCAAGCCAGAAAATGAGGCGTGCTTAAGAGGAGAAGCTGGGTCAAATTCAGGGGGGGTGGGGTGTCTCTTCGGTGCTGGGCCAGGTGTGTTTGTGTCACGCTGTGTGTGTATGTGGGAGGATTTAAGTCTTGTGCAAGTGGAGCCCATTGACTGGTTGGTGGTTCCGGGGGGGATTGCACAACCCAGAAAATCCGATCAGGCTCTGATGCCTTAATCAGCAGCTCCCCAACTACAGAACAAGCCACACCCAGCCGTGGTTCATTAACAACCGCAACTGTGTCCCCGGCCTTCCCTGCATAGGATACTCATAGTGCAGACATAGAGTTTCATTTTAATGTATGCTGATTAGTGTACATTCAAAGGGACAATAAAGCTCTTCTCTTCTCTTCTCTTCTCTTCTCTTCTCTTCTCTTCTCTTCTCTCCTCCCCTCTCCTCTCTCCTCTTCCTCTTCCTCTTCCTCTCCTACTCCAAGGCGTTCTGTTTGCAGCTGGAGCACCACATGGGGTGTGTGTGGCCCACAAGGGCTGTTGGGACAGGTGTGGGTGGTGCTTTCCTGGCCCAGGGGTCAAAGTGGAGAACTGAGGCTTGGTCTGGGCTGCAAGGCTGAGCCCCGGGGCCATTGGTCATCCCTCCTGGCCCTCTGACCCCAGAGGAGCGTTGGGCCAGGGAGGGAGGCTGCCTCCTCTGACCTGCATCCTGGGATGTGCGCTGGGCCAGCCTCGTGGTTGGAGGGTGGCAGCTCCCAGCGCTGGAATTGCCAAGACATTCAGGCAAATGCAAGGCTCCTCCCTGGGGAAAGCCCCCTCCTCTCCCACAGATCATTGAGACCCTCCCCCAGAAGGGTATTCATGCCCTGGGCTGGGGCAGAAGATTTCCTGCATTTAACAGGAATAACAGAAGTAACAGAAGTAACAGAATAACAACAGAATAACCAAGTTGGACGGGACCTTGGAGGTCTTCTAGTCCAACCCCTTGCTCAGCAGGAGACCCCAGACCAAACCAGACAGTCCAGTCTTTTCTTAAAAATCTCCAGCGATGGAGCACCCACCCATTTGAGGCAGGGAGTTTCATAGCCTTGTTGAGCTCAACGTCAAGGGGAAATTGTGTTCCCCCAGTGTAATTCTGGGGGGGGCGCGATGGCTCAGTGGTTAAAGATGCTGAGCTTGTCCAGGTTCGAGACCCCAGCTCCTTGCAACCCACCTAGCAGTTTGAAAGCCTGCAAATGCGGATAGATTAATAGGTGCCCTTTTGGTGGGTAGTTAACGCAGTGTACCGTGCGCCTTTGGTGTGTAGCCATGCTGGCCACACCACTACAGACGCTGCCTTCGGACAACGCTGGCTCCCTCGGCCAAGAAAGAGAGGTGAGCACTGGAGTCAGACGTGACCGGACAGAGTAAACCTTTAGTATATTTCCTCTTTTCAGCCCACAATGAGGGTTGCAGAAGGGGAGCTTCCCACCCACCCACCCACCCAGATGAGGGGACCCGGGGAAATTGGCAGCCATTTTAATTCTGATTTTACCCTAGGGGAGAAATCTCATCCTCCGCAGGGGCAGGGCCTGACAAGAGGATTGTTTCCATTTCTTTTCCCCCCTGAAGAAATAGTGTTGGGGCCTCCACGGGATTATAATTCTGGTCCACTGACTTTGTCACGCGGTTGTCATTTAATTACAGCGGGACAGAAAGATGGAAGAGGGAAATCCCCAGCCAAACCCTCCCCAGCTGGCGCCCTTTGCACCTCCATGGGGCTCCCATCGGGGGGGGGGGGGGGGCTAGGGGCACCCCCCCCCCCCCCCCCGGCTCTGCCATTTCCTCATCGCCTTTCCAGGACACGGACATTGAGACATCAGGCGGTTCCTCAGCCTCCCAAGATAGAAGGAGAGGCGGAAGAGACCCTCTCGGCAGGGAAGGGGCTGGTTGGGGGCTTGTTATGCTGGTGTCTTAAGGTCTGGCCGTTTGCTTAAGCCAAAAATGAACCAAAGCAAAGACTTAACACGGAGGCTTGCAAATTAAATAAAGCAGACTTTTATTCTTTGATCAACGTTAAAGATCTGGGAAGAAGTTCCTAGCACATCACAAGAGACACGGGAGGAAAATTCTACAAAATACAGAATGATGTCCTGTCCTTCTTATACATGGAAAAGTCTTTGTTCTTAGTTCTCTAATTACCTTGTAAATCTCTAGTCCTGTAATCTAACTAAGATTTAAATCTTCCTGCAACAGACAGATGCCACTCTGGCAATTTCATGACCTTTCATGACCTCTTCCCCTACTGTCCATCTCATTGATCACAATTGACCACTTTAAGGAGGCTATTAACAGCATACTTCAAAGGTGTGGATTCCTCCGATTGGAGGTATGTTACATTCCCAGAGAAGTAGGTTTCCTTCCCAGGGGGTGATGTTGGGGCGAAACATATCCATCCAGGAAAACAGATGGATTCAGATCGATTAAGATGGCACAATCATGTGTCTTAATAGGAGAGGGATGTAATTGCAGGCATGTGTTTATCATTGTTTTACAACAACTGAAAAGTTAAGGAAACCTTTTCTACAACAGCAAGATAACAAATGCCTAAAGAGTAGCTCTCTGCTTAATGCTCTAATGTATCCTACGACCTTTCTTTATTTATGATTACTATTCCCTTCATTGGGAAGCATGGAGCCATTTGGCAAAGTGGGGGACTCTCCTGCAGGGAAGCTCCACATTGGGTGTCCCAAAGGGGCTTTTTACAAGAGGCGACTGGGGTCTCTGGAAAGTCTAGTTTACCTCTTCCAAAAGCCCCCTTGGGGACAAC